GTCAAACTTCTCAATTTTAGATTTGCCTTCTTCTACCATTTTTTACGCACACAGATCTGAACAAGGGCTCTGATACTAGTTGTTAGGAAATATCAGATACGTTCTAATACCCATTGTTGGGGATTCAAGCTACCAAATATTGGTACAACTGTTCCTTAGCTATTCGACCACCTGTTAAATATGAACCCTTTGCAGAATTTACCCTACCGGATCTTGTGTTAAGGAATAGAAAAAAAGAAATCACAATAAATCCAAAAATAACAAGAATAGAGAACACCGAGTTTTAACGAGGTTCGGCAACTTGCCTACATCTTCAGAAGCCACACAAATAATTTTCTTTATATTTAAAGAAGATTACAAAGCTTGTAAAAGAGTAGATCTTAACTTGAAATCTCTCAAAAGAAGTAAAGAGAAAAACTATATGTTGCTCTTACAAAAAGCGCGAGATTTTACAATAGTAAAATCTCCTCTCTCATAAAATCGCTATAGGCATTAATCCTCTCCAATAACTGAGATTTTCAACTTGAAAACCTCGTGCTCAGGCGCCACCAAGAAGTCGCTGAGAAGAAAAATTGGAGAGAGAGGGGGAGAGAGAGAGAGAGCGCTAATTTCTCGTGCTCATGGGTTTCCCTTAAATAAGGAAACCCTAGGCCCAAAAATCATTAGGATCCAACTGGATCCAACTCAGGCGTGCAGGCGAGTTCCGTGCTCCCAAAACAAGCGACTTCCAGATCCGCCCTTCAAGACTTCACCTGCCAAAAGAGAGACCCTGCCTGTTGACCTTCCGCGCTCGCAAGAAGATCTCGACATCAACCTCGCCTTTAAGGCCTCGTCCTCGAACTCGCCCTCAACCAACCTTGCCTGAAGTCGTCTCACCGGCGGGTCTTCTTTGAGCTCGCTTGAGCTTCATCGGGGTCGCCTGAAGCTTGCCGGAGGAGCTCATTGCCAACCAGGTTTGGGCTACATCCTAGTTTCCAACAAAGAGATATTTTTATGGTAGCATGAAATAACTCGGCTTATGATTCTAAGGTTCTTATGTTGTAATTAGATGCTAATTTATATCTAATTCTAAATACTAACTAATTGATACTCATATTTTCAAACATCATTTATCAGATTAATTATTATATAAAGGCTATTGTCCTCGTGGGAGTTATAACAATAATTGGACAAATTTTCAAAACAAACTCTTTTGTAAATTTATTCACAAAAAAACAACTCATTTCTCTTTTATTTGTAAAAACCGACATGGTTTCAGCCTCAGCGCTGATTCCGAAACTTCACGGGAGTTGAACTCCCGTGAAGTTTAGCAGCTTTTAATTAAGCTGCTAAACTTCACGGGAGTTCAACTCTCGTGAAGTTTCACAGTTCAAAAATTTTGTTTTTAAACTAAGAAACTTCACGGGAGTTCAACTCCCGTGAAGTTTAGCAGCTTAATTAAAAACTGCTAAACTTCACGAGAGTTCAACTCCCATGAAGTTTTAAAATTTTTTTGTAAAAACCGACATGGTTTCAGCGCTAAGACTGAAACCATGTCGGTTTTTAAAAATAAAAATTAAAGGGGTCGTTTTTTGGGAATAAAATTGCAAAAGGAATTGTTTTAAAAATTTGTCCAACAATAATTCTATAAGAAAAGCTAATTACTATAGCAGATAAGATTGAAAAACAAAATAAATTAATAAGGTAGGGCACTACTTTGCTATTATTAAAGTAATATAGGGATGTCTCTTTGAGCAAGAGCCAAACTCTGCTCAAAATGTTATTTTTCTACCTTAACCAAATATTGGATATCCGCATAACTAGAGTCAAGATTGAAAATAATATAAAATAATATATGTAGGGCACTAATTTTTTATGGAGTTCATAAACTACAAACTTTTAGTAATCAAGGATGAAGGGAGCAATTGAACATGTCACCAGTTTCATGGCGGCCACATGCTTTGCATATTTGCATGATTTATTTTCAGACTGATAGTGCTATAAAATATAAAAATAAAAATACTTTACGATTTAACTTGAACAAATTTCTTAGTCAAATCTATAAACTTCGAAACAAAGAAAGGTGAAAGTTGACCTCGCAAGATAAAAGGATTAGAGATCTAACTGATTAAAACATGAGACCTATACATCCCTACAACGGAAGAACCCAGCCTACAGATTAAATAACATCACTAATTTTCTCAAAAAAAAATAACATCAATAACAAATTAAAAAGCCATAATTCAATATTCAACCATTTGTACTATACTAATATATCATGTTACTGATGATTAGATTAATCATACAATACAATAAACAATCTAAAAAAGTATGATTTTCCATGCAGAAGTTTAGGGATTCTAGGATCCCAAAATTTAAACAACCTAAAAAAAGATTAATATTTACTACTTTCAAACAATTTAATATAATCTAATAAGAAGAAAATAACAAAGACATATAGCCGTTGAAGGAGATGAAAGTGCTATGAAAATTATTACAATTTCTTGATCTGAAAAAGAAAAGAACAAACGTACAAACATATAATATAATTAATTACTTTAAAATAATTTAATCTAATCTAATAAGAAGAAAAAAAATAAAGGCATAAACCTATTGAATGAGACCAAAGTGCTATGGAAATTATTGTAATTTATTAGCTTATATATTGGTATGTGATGTTGCATGTGAGAAGATAATAACTGTAAATAGAGTTCTATTTAAATAATATTAGTATAATTTCTTAAACTTTGAAATTATTACTACTCTGAAATTTTGGAACATTAAAGTGCAAATAAAATAACCCTTTTGAAGCAAGCCCGTACATAATGCTAGCTCTTCCTAATTCTAGAAGTATTAGGAATACGAAAGATGGGATTAATTAACCGATTGTCCTTCATATATAGATCATTAAGATTAGGGTTAATCTCTGCTTTAACTCATATCAATATCTCATCGAGCTTGCATTGATTACGCTGCCATTCATCAACCTCTCTTTTCCATATTTTTTTAACATGTCAAAGGGATTAGATTGGATTAGTAGTTGAGTTCAGATTTTGATTGGAAGTTAGTTAAACAAAAACCAAGGGATTAGATATTTGAGGTATATGGATTAGTATTTGAGTTCCAATGGTATTTTTGTCTACTATAATTTTTTTAAGCTCGTGCTTTTGAAAGTACTAGTTGGATTGCACGTGCAATGCACGTGGTAAATTTTTAAATTTATTAATTTAGTATTTATTCATTTCATTAAGATTTATTTAATTTAAACCATGTATCAACTATATGTATAGAATTTAAAAATTCAAACGGATTGATTAATAAAATTACATTTATGTATCAATTGTTTGATAAATAGATTGTTTGCATCCTTAACAATATAAAATAATAAACTATTTTATAAAAGATTTTTATTAGGTATACAATTGAGATTTAATCAACCAATACAAAACTATATACAGATGACAGTAGATGACCTATTTAATCATAATCATCCAATATAAAGATTAGTAAAATAGTAGCATCAATTTTTTTCCTTTAGTCCTACTTATTTCTATCTCCTCAAAAGAATTAATAGTCATACAACAAATAGTAGAGATAATAAATATTTCTATTTATTATTTGATATTTTGAGCTTTAAAAGTTTGAAATTAAAACAACAGTTCTATCATTGATAAAATCAATTGTACACAAAACCAAAGGAGGAAAACCATGATATTATAACATAAAAGAATTAGATATGTCTTTACAGTTATTGATCAGCTTTAATTGATATTTTATGTAGAGTTATCTCAGATTGCGCTCCAAAAAGTTTTTTATTATAATCTTATCACAGGTTAAAAACAATGATACTATAACTGTAGGCAAAGAGTAGGCATTGCTCAGATCCAGGCAACAACTATTTCTCCATGCGTTTTCAATTTCCTTTATTTTGAGTCAGGGTGTATTATAAAAGTTTGTATAACTGCTTGTTATACCATGGGATGCTATAGCAACTGTCAAAAGTAATAAACTGCAGAAGCAATCTCAAAGAATCGACTGGATCATCAATAGGGTACAGAAAGTATCAGTATATGCCTCAAATAAAATAGGTAGTCATGTCGAAGATTTATCTCCCTCGGAGTCCTTATTAGAAAAGACTATTCCCTCAATTGCTCTTGTTACAGTGGGTGAGGGTGCTTGGGCTGCTGGTGTAGTATTCAGCAGCCATGGTCTTATACTCACAAATGCTCATATTTTGGAACTATGGATATTTGGAAAAACATCTCTGCTAGGTTCAATGGACAAATATGCAGTCGCATCTTGTCATGCAAATTCTTTAGATTCTGTGACAAATGAGCATGAAGCATCATTCTTGAATTCAAATTATAGAAGCTATAGTAAAATATCAGTTTGTTTGTGTTTGCATTTTAATTATAAATACACATGAGAATAACTTTTGCAATCTGATTTCACTTAGATCAAGGAATATAATGATTTATCTAATAGCAACGAATTAACCATAACCATGTCTCAACTTCAACTTAACATGCTAGTTCTCATGGTTTTCAAACTCTACTATGTTTCATCTCTTATGTCGTAATACAAAATCTAGCATGTCAGTGATAGTGCAGACATCTTGCTCCAATTGCTTGATGTATGGATTGTTAAAGTTGTTCAAACCCATTAATATAATTTTCGATGAGTTAATTGCAAAGATAAAAAAGTATATATTCTAAATCATTTGTTAGTACAAATTTAGAGACTAATGGATATCAAACATCAGTTGCATCCCATGGCAATTTTTCATTTATAGAAAATAGGAAGAGCACTTAGCTTCCCCTATAGAATCATCCTGAGAGTAGTCCAAACACAGATACTGCACCGAGTGATAGTCGAGGCCTGTAATATCCTTGTCAAGAGAATTTACGGCATAATGTTGTAATAAATTTCTAAAAAAAAGTTGCACCTAAAAAAACAACCGAAGCAGTTGTTTCTTTAAAGCTTCAAGATAGCAAGGAGACAATATCACACTCTGATCAAAATGAAGGAATCGAAGAACAATTGAATCACGCGGAACATTCAACAAGAAATTCTGAACAATCTGGTGGCATGTCCACCTTCTACCAATATTTTCTTCTACTGAGTAATGGGTTGATTCATAACATGAACAATGTTTGCAATGTAATACTTCTCAACCTCCTCCTTAAGCATTTTATTGCTATATTTAAAACCTGAAAACCTTAAAGCTCCATCTTTCAGCAGAATCTTGAGTTTATCATGAAAGGTATCCATATACCTCAAATCACAAACCCTGATCCCATTACGGATAGTCTTACTTGAATAGCAAGGCCCGATTCCTCTTTTGGTAGTCCAGATGAAGGAGTTTGCAAGTTTAGCGTCTCATAGCCCATCTACATACCTGATACTGGAATAAGATTTGCATATTTTGTCCTGTAATAAAAACATTAAAATCAAAATAATCACGGTCTAAGGATTCTTTACCCACTTAAATATTTGTACCTTTTCTACGGATCAGGTGACATTCTGCGGCCAAAGAGAGCATCCTCAGTCTCAGTCTTTTTCTGTGCAGCAGTCCTCTACTTGTGCCTTGCATCTTTTGCAGTTGTATCAGCTCTCACTTTCTCCATCATTTTACTGAAACCAGGAATTGTCCTATCTAACTTGTACGCTCTATAGCTCAGGTTGTGAATGATTCAAAACATCCTCTGCATAAACAATTTGTATTTACTGTTAGTAGTTAATTTGCTTTATGAGAAGAAATCTAATAATATCAATGCCATTTAACGATTGCAAAGTGTAATTGAAATAACTTATCATACAGAACAATGAGAATAAGTTAATAACTGAGAGCTTAATCACCTTCATGACCTTAAGGCAAGAGGAATCTCGACTTGTAGCAAGGCAAGCGAGGATAACCAATCCGGAAACCACAGTAGAGGGCCAGAAGCAAAATCTTTCATGGTCGAGAAGTGAGAGGACAACTAAGTACCTCCACATCGGCATCCATATTTGTTGCTTTTAGATAGAACCTGCAACAGTGTTGCATCTCAATACCTACTTTCTTATAGCTCCCTCGATTTATAAAACAAAGGGGGAAATTGTTTTACCACAAGAAATTGTGCGTTGTGGGCAGCATGCACTTGAAATTGAGAACTTCTAGTACCAGCCATTCCATTGCAACTACTTCAGATCGAGCATTGACATTGTCTCAGCGAAGCATTTTAAGTTCATCAAATACACACAACTATTTGCTTGATGCTCCGAGAAATAGAAGAGTGATTCAGAGTCCCTTTACCAGTGTATCAAGCTTCTAACACTATTAAGAAATAAATCAACAACCATATAGACCATCAACAAGATGGCAGTCATGACATGGCCTGAAAATAGTGCATTTGAAAAGTGAAACTATACAAAAATATAAACTACTTTACTGGTAAGGTTTGTCCTATTGATGTAAACCTTCATTGTTCTTTAACTATGGCAAGAGGCTATTAGTACAGGGCCTATATAATTTTTATGCGTATTACTTTTAGTGAAGATCTTCTCATGCTGTCATACATTAACATGAAGTAAATAAGTTTAGTTTTTTACAAGTAGATATCTGATGGTACCCAAATACTTATACTAATCTATTCCTTAAGGAGTCGTGAAATTCAATAGGTTAATCTCCAATTTAAAGATAAGATGAATTTGCTTAAATATTCGAATCCTGAGAAAGCAAGTGGAATTCCATAAAAGTCCTAAACAATATTGACAAAGGACATATGTTGTAAGCAACCAAAAAACCTATGAGAAGGCAAACCGTCTAGGACAACCAATTCTACAACTAATAATAGCAAAGTTGAGGGTAACCAATAAAAAGGGCTTTGACTTTGTCAGAGAACAAGCCTATAAAGTATGTGCATATAGAAGAATAAAATTTGATCAACACCATTTTTCTATGAATTTTAAAGTAAACACATAATTTTTGCCAGATGGAAATCTCCCTAAATCACACAGCCACCAAAACCCAACATATTCACTTTCTTCTATTATGCACAAGTTAAAATCTCTTCAACTTCTATGAAATTGTGAAATATTAGCATAGCAATTACCAATTATATGGACAAACTAAACTAATACACTTTGTCTTAAATTTATACAAAATAAACTTCAGTTTACGCAAAAGTAAGCAAATCTCTCATAATTCTGAAGTATAAAACAATTGAATTGTAAAGTTCATTATAACATCAAATAGGTAACCACATCAAATCATAATGAGACATAAATGTAAACAAGAAAATTTCAGTAAATTAAGTCTCACCATTGACTGATCCACCACTGAATTCGTCAGCGATACCACTCCTGCGAGTGTTTGATGTGCTATCCTTACAACACATCAAACATGAAGGACAATCAGTGTGGCCAAGCACCATTGCAGCTGCACTCAGAAGATTATTAACCATTTAAATTGCAACAACATTCATCAAAAGGAGAAACAGCTATACATAAAGCATCTAGTACAAAATTATTTCCCACAGAACTCTAAAATTGATGAGTACCAGCAGCATAAGTACTTGATTCAGCACCACTTGAATCATATCGCCATCTTCCATCACTTTGACTGAGTGCCTGATAAACCAATAAATTGCAATGACAACTTCTTCATCAAAAGGAAAGCTAGGAAAAAAAATTAAGAGAAATTACAAGGGGAGTTTGCAGGTTTATCATCTTAATAGAATGAAACACGCTATCTGCATCTGATAATATCACATCAAAACCTTGATTTTGCATCAGGAAAGTGAATAAATGTTGAGCTTCAGATAAGGAATGGAACAAGTTACAGATGAAAGAAGATTGTATGCAATTTTTGCAATACTCAAGAAGAGAATGAAGTCAGATGTTATTCAACTCTACCTTGATATGAACCAAGCTTCCGACGGTGTAATAGAAATCTAATAATGATTCTACCGTTTTTACACCACCTTGAAGTTTCGAACAGGTCTCTACATGGGTGCTTTAAGATCAGCATCAAATATTGTAAATGTTCCCCCTTTCATAAGCTTATAAAGTTACCTCAATGGTTTTGACATCAATCTGACATTTCAGAATGCTATTTACTCAAAGTGCATAAAACAACTCCTTTGATGCAGATGACAATGACCCGAGTATCTCCCCAATAACTGGGCAAGTTGCTGGGCTAATATCAACAACTTTTTCGAGTCCAAGCATCATCAAAAGAGGACTCATAGACCAAAAAATTTATCATGCACCCATTCCAATATAAACATCATGCATGCATGCAACCACATAGTGTGCTTTTGTTTCGTGACAACTTCAAAGACTTTCAACGGTTCAATCTAAAGGAAGAACACTAACTTTAGAAAGACTTTCAATTTTGTGGTTAATTCAACTTCTAAGCTTTTAATGTATAGTTATCATGGAAATTCCTGTAAATGTATAAAAAGCTTTTAATGTCCCGGTTCTCTGAAAGGATCTTAACAAAACACCCATGATACGATGAAAATTTTCAGATAAGCAAAATTCAAAGTAATCCTTGAATGCAAAGTTCAAAGCCTAACAAGAAAAACAGCCAACAGTAGTTAGTACAACTGAAATGCAACATCTCCACAAAGGGCAAGCTAATTAGTACAGTTCAATTAAAACATATAAACTTACCTATTTTTCAATGAAATAAATAATTTATAAGAAATGTGATGCAATGGTCTTGTAATGCTGTACAGGTTATCGATCATTTTGTGAAACAGAACAAACTTACCTCACTTCTAGTAGAGTTGTCCATCATAACAGATGGTCTTATAGTAGGTGTTTAAATAAGAAGAAGTCGTAATATCATCCAATAATCTTCATTGATTATCCTTTTAAGAATAATGATAACCTGTCAATGTCATAAAACAGAAAAAATAAATTTAATAAATAATTTTTGTTGCTGCTTTACAAAGGAATTAATTTCACGGTCCTTTTGGACCTAAAGCATGTACATTAAAGCATTAGTTATTATACACCAAAAAGAACAAAGATAATAGCAATAAGAGACAACTTTTTTTAAGGAAAACTTGCATGTAGTTTAATAAACTACATAATTACACATTTAATAAAATAGTTAAGTGCAAAACAAAGTGGTCATAAAGAGCACACCTAATCAAAGTATTAGAAACTCAATACTCAGTCACCAATCAAAAATATCATCAAAATCATGGTTTTGTATGTTGTCAGTAATCGTATGGAGAACCACATCAATAACCTCACACTTGTATGTTTAAAACCAAGTACCTGTCCTAATGCATCCCGCCTCTTCAATGAATAATTAACCGTCGTATTATTAAAATAAAAAATATCAAATGCAATAAGAAAACTATTGTGTGTCCCCATTCAATCAAAACATGCTTATATATATATCACAAACACACACATCAGCTCCAATAACTTAACATAAGCCTACAGATGTTAACTATAAGTAATACATATAGGTATGCTTATAATACAAACATTCCAAAGTAAATGAAAATGTCATTGAAATCACTATAAATAATTAACTCACATCATAGAGATTCAAAGCATAGAGCGAAGGAAGAACATAAACCTTGGCGGTCTACTGACTGCAGACTGTCTGGCCGACGAAGTAATCAGCTGCAGCTGCAAATCCAAATGCTTTTCAAGCGTCGGGCACCTTGACAGAAACTTAATTTCAATAAGAAAATTAAGGAAAATGGTTAAACACAGGCCATTGCGTGAGAGGGGTAAATGAAACAGGATCAACAAATCTTGTATATATATTATATACTAATAAATAAGTACCAAGTACTATCAAAAATAAGAATCAAGCTATTATATTGCTTTATTTGTTAGATCAGCATCAAATCCCATTCAAAATAGTGTCGTTTATAGTGATCACATGTAAAGATGGGCAAGGTAGTAACTAAAATAGAAGATGATTCCAAGGCTGATGACTTAACATAGAAGCAGCTCACAAAATGAACCAGCAAATAGACAAATAGGTATCTAGACTAAACATTGTGAATAAATAGACTAAACATGAAGTCTTTGAATGGTAAACTGGGAAATTGTAAGGTTGCAGGTTCAATAACTTGTGAGACAATACATTAAAGCATTAGTAAAGTGTGCAACCAAGATGAACATCAGCACCACTGGCATCTTACTCCAATATCACAACCTCGATCTGATTTCTTGTTCTGCCATCTGCGAAGAACCATCGTAACCCACTGAACTGGTAACTTCCTCATTGCTTCTAGCTGCCTCCAGCGCTCTTTTTCAGCAGCACCCTGTGGGCAACTATTAGAAACTTCTCTGACTGTTTTTAGGTGATGGATTTTCTAGCCAAAATGCAATAAAGGCATTAACAGAATCCAAAACTGTTTAGAATAATCCCAAACTTGTTATACAAACTCTTTAATATGCTCATTCCAAATTTGTAGGGCTATACACATGGCTGTATATTCAACTCCATTCCAACATTTGCAGGAATATTACAGTGTCCAGAAAGTCCATTAAAGTTGACAAATCCCCAAATAAGGTCTCTATTTCCAAATCGCGCAGAACAGGAGCTCAAATTGAGAAAATAAATCTGCCCTTCAAGGAAAGATGAACATGGGAATACTGTCCTGCCTGGCAAAGAACACATGTGACACCTTGTACTAATCCTTCACCATTCAAGATATGTTCACATTCAGTCTTCTTCTAGCTGTAATGTGTATAAGAACTTGCACTTGAGTGTAATTTACCAAATAGAAAACGGAGAAGAGTAAAAAGTCTAAATGAGGAAACCGAGTTACTGCATAACCATCATCATATCACACCTTTGTCCGGCGCTAAAATCACTTATTATATGCAACAATTTACAAAATCATTAACCAGAAATTTATAATATTTCTTCTAAAATATAATCTCTAAATCCACATATCCTGATCATTTCCCATAGTTTGTATTAGAACTTAGAAGCAAATTTGTTGGCAGCTGATTGAAAAAGCTGTGAAAATATAGCATATTGTTGCCTTTCTGAACACCTTTGTCTAACTAAAGACTTGGCCCGCATTGCTTGACATGATTACTAAATAGAAAGGGCTTTTTATGCCTCAGAATCCCTTTTTAAAAAGATGGATTCAAAGAAACAATTGAGTAATCCTGGAAAAATTTCCCATTGAAGTACTGATGTCTGAAAAGTTAACACCACAATAAATCTTGTTTGGTAAAAAAAATTTCCTTTGCCATGCTTATAATAATGCAAGATCCATGTCTCTTAAACTAATCAC